TATACATATATGTCTTTGCCCTGCACTCAGATAGCCAGCATGCCAACCTGGATGGAGTTTTGCATTCTGTACTATAAGTGTTGTGCGTGTGTTTGTGTATCTCTACCTGTGATCTTGGCCTGGGTGCTTTCTTTGGGTCCTGGAGGAAAGAGCATCTCTCCGTGATCGCCTCCAGACAGAGGTCCGTACTTGATGCGATAGTTCTCCACGTGAGCTTGACTGTTCTTCCACTCAAGGGTGATACTTTCGTCTGTCAGCTCCACCGTCTGCAGGTCTCTGGGGGCGTCCAGGTCTACACACATAAATGGACTTTAATTTAACTGTATTTTTAATCTAGGTCTGAACCTTAAGAACTTCCTATTTGAAGACAAGATTTACAGTTGGGGGAGTTATCAAGGTTTTTAATGACATCATTTCGGGAAAAAGTTCTGTTATTTTCATAATTTATTCTTTTTTCTTGAAAACAAAGCACAGCCAACACATAGTATTCTTACCTGTTAGGAAAGATTCATAAACAGGAATACTGGTCCTTTCTCCCATCCCTGCTGTCAGAGACACCTCGTACTGGGTGTCGGGGGTGAGGCCACCCAGGTGGTACTGTGTGTCAGTGGAGGACAGTTTCACTATGCTGCGGTCAGCAGGGTTTGAACTGGGCCCATAGGAGATGCTGATGCCATCAACATGGGCTACTGGCTGGAACCAGGTCACCAGCGCTGTGGTGTCTGTCACATCACGTACGTCCACCTGACTGGGGGCATCAATCCCTAAAGGGGCAAAAATTACAGTCAATTCAAACCCCTTTCATTTTGCATATAGGTGTGCTCAAAGGAATTTATTGAAAGAGGTTTTAAAATATATTTTTTGGCTGTCAAGTCTCTTAAAGTTATTCTCATTTGGTAGCCTGTGCATTAGTTCACAAATGATATGTCATGTACATGTATTAAAACAGTTCATACTGTCATGAGCCTTGTCAAGGAGGATCTTTTCGTAGAATTTAAAACTCTCGCTACCGCCAACTCATGTGGTCGAAAATATGACCCTCTATCATGCATGATGATTTTTCATGATGCACATATTTTTTTAAATGTAACTGAAATAATTAAATCAGATGTTTTTCTTTCTTTCTTGTCCAGGCAGACAATATTTATTTGTTAACACAATTCCAAATTGTGATGGGTTTTTTTGCTCACGGTGTGAAAATCTCTGCTGATTAGATATGTCAGAAACCAACTTTGTGTTTTGTCTCAGTTTGTGTTTCAGTTAACTTATCACCTTCCTTTGTTCTGCTAATCGATGGATATGAATCCCGATCATAGATCTTGAAGGTGGGAAGCACAGGTGGAGGGAGTACGGTTGGGTGTGGGGTGGAGGCAAACACCAGTGTGTTATGTGGATGGGTGAATGTAACCATTTCAGCAATGCAGGTACTGAGAAATGTGACAGGCCTTTTACATTTATGAGGTTATTGGAACTATTTATAGATCAAATCCCTGTGCCCATGAAGGGCGCCTTTTCACCGGCACTGAAATTGATTTGTCACACACAAGCAACTTTAGGAAAGTCAAGCCTCTGTGCAGGGCTGATAAAACGAAGAATCTATGTTTGAGCTTAACGAAGATTTGTCTTCCGAGGAGATGTCACAATACCATTCTCCTGGGAGGCCGTTGGCCCTCATGAGCCCCACTGCTTGACTGGTGCCTCCCACACATTGTGGGCTGGGCCGTAGGGGGGAGGAGTAAGGGGGAGCGGAGCGGAGGGACCTGCTTCACACAATTAGCCCCTCAGCATGCAAATCCCACAGTACACGCCGCAGGCTGGTGTAGTGGGGGACAATAAGAGAGTAACTGAGAACTCTGAACCTCATAACCCACCTGACACGAGGGTGAACATATTCGCGTGCATGAGTGAATACATGCATTTATGGCAGGTATAAAAAATATTCATCCTGTTTGACGTTTCTTGTCTTACAAGTACATAAGAAAATGGTTCCCTATATGAACAACCTTGTTCATTCTGTCTAATAAAAGCCATATACAAAGAACAGTCGATACCTGATATTATAGGATGCATACTTTAATCTTACTGTATAATTAAAGAGTAAAACATGAAATATAGACACAAACTATATAACAGCCCAAAAACCTTGGATGTTATTGTGTAATGTTGTAGTTTCACTCATGAACAAACATCATTTGTATGTGTTAGAGCCTATACAATATAAATACACGCTACATGTGCGTATAGGTACACTGAAGAAAACAAACGTACCTCTGCACTATTATGAAAGACTTTTAAAACAGCATTATTTGAATTTTAAAAAAACATTGTAAAAAAATAAGGTAAGACTTTCCTGGTTTTTAGCTCTTTAAATAGCAACAAGGTAATTATAATCTGTCATGTTCTTAAGTCACTATTGTTACTCCCTTGCTCTCCGTTAGTACCCAATTCACCCGATTCTATTAAACTATAAACAATGACTCATTACACATAACTCATTGAACATCATTTCCTTACTCCTCCACATACTTGTTAGTTCCATGTATGTACAGTGATTGTATTATCCTATTGTCTTGTATTATCTAAATGTAGGCTATTTGACCTCATCTATGATTAAAAACAAACAGGTTAGATAGATTGCACTGTTATAAAATTAATAGACCAAATTATTCGGCTTTTTGTTATGAGAAATAAAATAGGATTCAGGGGACAGGATATGTAATTATTTAGCATTGATCAAATGTGTTTTTAGTTTATTGCTTTGTATTATCTATGATTTACTGTAAAAATTAAAAACCTAAAATCCAATGAAATATGGTGATAAATATAAATTGTTTTAGTAATTCTCTAACAAGGACTCTCTGTCTCACTGACCGTCTTCTGTATCCACATACTGAGAAAATATGAAAAGGATTTTGATAAATGAGAGTTTTAACTTTTCACAGTAGTAGCTATTTACTGCAGTACAATTGCAAGGACATTTAAAGGTACTTTTCCTATAGAAAAAAAAAGTCATCATCTACATTATTTAACCCTTTATAAGGGGTAACATAAAAGATTTAAAGTGTATGGGGCATTTTCCTTCGAATGTAGAACAGTAAGTGCCACTCATAAGTAAGATTCAACCACCACACATTAAAACAACAGAATAGACATTATCTGTGGTCTTTAACTCTAGAAGTCACTAAGGAAAATGAAAATAACACCACCATAATGTGTGGTAACACTTAGGTATTCATTTTTTAAGAAAAATGGTTCATATGACAGGCCTCTGGTGATATTTCCACACATCCCTCTGTTTATTCTGGCACAGTGCAGACCATTCTCATACTACAAATAAGCAAAGAAGTGGCCTGACCCACTGCTGGAAAGATCTGCCATTTATTCAACGTAGTGTTGAATATATGGTGAACATAGCTGTGCTTGTTGGAAACAGAAGAGTCCCAGGGGTAAAAGCCAGCACAGTTAGAGTAAAGGTTTAAGTTTCAGCCAGCCACAGAGCCGTTTTAAAGAAAATACACAATTAACAGCTTCAGCAGCGCTGGAGCTTTGCTCCCCCCGCCCCAGTCAAGAGACAGAAAAATAGCTTGGTGGTTGATGTGGCAGGTGAAGTCACGCGCTCAACCCCATTCTCTCTCTTCATATCGATCCCAGGCCCCCAGTTTCTCGGACTGTTACAATCCATCGGGCTTTATTGCCTGATGGAGCTGTGGAGATATCTCATAACTTGCCAATTGGGCTGAAAATCCATATCTCTTTTCACAACCCTGACTAAATCACAACAATGCGAGTGAAATCTAATGAGCTAATCTCTCAGGTTTGACATGTCAGGCTGTTTACAGTACTCTGCTGGGAGCTGCAAGACAGATAAGCCAGATGGAGAATTCAATGAACCTGCGCAAGGTATGAAGGTGACAACCTGTTTTTGCATTTGTGGTTGACAGCTGCAAGTGACACTTTATAACACAATAACCTCTATTTCTGGAGAATCCATTGTCAATCTGCAGCTCTGGGTGTCTGAAAGTTCAGGTTTATTATCTTGCAAACCTGTTTTTTTTTTTTATGGAAAATCAAAGTGAAAATCAAGGTCAAAACATAATTTTCCTGAAATTTAAATTAAGCTGTTCCAGAACGCACAACTGATAGATTTGGAGAGATTTATCCTGCATTGTGTCTGAGGACACACAGACCCTTGTGTTAGAATTTATCAAGGATGTGATGGACCAACATTCATGGATATACTGGACCATTTGTTCACAGAGCTGCATTCACACTTGTCCCACTGTCCCACCAAGTGTTCAGTGCATGACAGGGGTTAATGATACAAATAGACTATTTAGTCTTAATAGTTATATTGACAATGAGAGAGTGCCACTTGTGTCTGTTGGCTGCTCCGATACTCTTAGCTGTTTTGCTACTTGTTGAAAACTACATGCCTGTCATAACCTGTGCACAAATAAAGTAGAAACTACCAGTGCTATGCTGAATTAAGACCAGCTGACAACAAAAGACTCTGTGGTGTGGTGAGGTTTCATAACTGAGCTCTAACCAAGACGCGAAGAAAAAAAGAACAAAGTCAAGTCTTCAATTTTCCACCTGATGATGAAGAGTTTCATCTGTACAGAAGAAGCTTGAGAAGCCTCATATACTGTATGTCATTATTACCTATGGTTATGTTTTCACCCTGTTGGTTTTTTTGTTGCTTTGGTGGTTACACTGAACCGATTTACATGAAACTGAGTGGAAGGATAGAACACTAGTCAAGAAACAATCCATTCACTGTTGGTGTGGAACAGGACAAAGGGGTGGATCCAAGACATTTTTGACATTTTCACCAATTTCCCAGAGAAAAGTTCATGGATATTGTGGACATTGTGTTATATTTAGAGGACTGGTAATTATATGTGGTTTTGTACAGGGACTGTTGGGCCAAGGGTGGAGATATGAACTCGACTGAGTTTCGTTCTACTTCATCATGTGCTTTGTTATATCAACACATCCCATTTGAAAACTCTCTAAGTGTAAAACCTTTTTATTCATTTTTAAATGTTTTGTAAATTGAACATATACAGAGGGCATTGAAGTGAATGAGGTAATGGTCCAATATACTTCAACACAGTTAGATGAAAATCCACTTATATGGAGGAGGTAAGAAATACTAATGCAATGTTTTTGTTCTGTAAAAATTTGATGCTCGTCTCTGTTTGAGGTTCCTCACTGAATGAAATAAAGACAGAGGTTCATGAAACAATGATATGTTCTATGATTGTAATTATTCATGTATTATAAGTTATTACATTCCTCTTGGGTTATAAAATCCACACATTGTGGTAACAGAAAGATACTGTATGGTGGTGGATTGATGAGTTCCTGGACATATTATCAGATACATTATCAGAGGAACTCAGTCTCTCAAAAAAAGGAGAGTGAAATATTTTTCAGAAATGCTTCAGTGGGTTAAGTAAGAGAACCCTCTGCAAACTAAGTAAATGTTCACCCTTCTGGAATAAAACCATCCCAGTAGGTCTGAAACAAAAGATTGATAAGCCAGTTAGCAGTGTGAATGTGTACACTTACTTGTGACGACGTTCTTGGAGGCAGGCGGTCCACGCTTGTTGTTCTTCACCACCTCCAGTTTGACCTCGTACTCCTGGCCAGGGCCCAGGCCCGACTGCTCAAAGGTGGTCTCTGGACGGCCAAGGGAGTTAAGGATCTCACCATCCTCCTCTTTCTGCCAGCACCAAAACACACCAGTCATCAACCACTTCAAAGACTAGTCCTGGCATAATGTGAGGAGTAGGGGGGGTGCACATCCAAATCATACATAATGGCGCTCTGGGTGGCGTTTGGACTTAAGAGTTGACAGGGTATTCGTTTTTACAGAGCATGGCTTTGAGCAGATTCCAGTAGCACTGTTTGGAGAGGTTTCTATGAGCACTCAAAAAGGAAAATAAAGCATTAAACAAAATGTGTTGCATCGGGTCACTGGAGCTGTCAGAACATGCTAACACTGCTGTGTTCACATTCTGGCTTGGTAAAACCATTTTCCACAGGATAATCACTCTGATCCTCATGTACGCACATTAGGGAATTACTGAATCTGAAGACGCAAGTCTGCAGTGGTCCATATATGGTTTTTACTGTAGGAAAATGTGCATAATGACAGAGTATGTGGTAGGCTTTAGAGTTCAGCCACCTCCAGGGATACAGAAGCTCCATTAAAAGGATGAATGGCGAGACTTACTGTGTTCCTAAAGATGATGTTCCATCCGTCAAAGGGAATGTCCAGTGGGTCCCACTGTACCTCCACTGATGACTCCCGAACTGACTTGAACTTGAGTCCTTCAGGCTCAGGCAGATCTGAGAGGAATGAAGCCAAACACTTATTCACATTTCAGCTATATTAATACATTGAATTTTGTTAATCGCCACAGAGAGGAATCACATACGTGTGGCCACCCTCGCACTGACAGGAACACTCCTCTTGTTGCTAAGAACAGCATAGACACTGATCAGGTATTCAATGCCAGGTTCAAGCTCCCGAATGGTGGCCACCTTCTGATCCCCGGGCACACGCATGTCCAGCTCCAGGCCTCCTAGGGCTGTGGGCACGTAGGTGATCAGGTACTCTGTAACACGCATCTCATTTTCCCAGGACAGGTCCACTGTCTCAGGGGTGACCTCGATCACTTTTAGGTCCTTGGGTGGTGAGACTGTGGGCAAATACCGTATAAGTTATATGCATTGAACATTTTAAAATGTCAGAAATATTCAAAGTTTTTTCCAAGTACTGCATTGTCAGAAATGTCCTAATAGGAAGATGAGTCCAACTCAACTCAACTTTCGCTAATTCAAGCTAGGGATTCATACATACATTTTACTCTTGAACCATGTTCACAGATACAAAGTTTAATGACATACAACAGATATCATACTGAACACATGAAAAATGTGTTTTCACACACATTTCCATGCATTGCTTGATCTATGAGCTGTAGTGCCAGAGTCTTAAATATTTGAACATTTCTGACTGTTCGTGAGGTAGATTTTCCCCTCATCCCTCACCAAGGGCAGTTTCCTAATCAGCAGTTTGCGATACCCCATCTGAGTATTTTCCATATGATTTTGCAGAAAGTAGCTGAGCAATTGAAACCAAGCCACTTAACTGCATATTAAGGTGTAATGAGAGATCCAAACTATTTGACATTGTGATAAAATTCAAACATTTTCCAATCATATTGAGAAATAGTGATATTATGTGTACTGTCAAGTAAAAATGTTCTTACTATATATTTGCCAATGGGAAAAAATAACTTGACCTTGTTAGCTGCCAAAAGGTCTGTTTTTTCTGGCAGAAGAAAAATAAGATATGAAACCCTGGTGCACATTATGTGTGTCTATGGCTTCCATGTTGATTTACTTAAATGCTTCAATTGTGAGTATTTGTATATGAACATTGGGTGAAATAACTGTGTAATGTGAAAAGGGTAATTTAAAGAATTCACTTATTGACTAACTGGTTCACTGTCAGCAGCAGGTAACTGTTTTCAGCTAAACATACTGTACACATCTTGTCTGTACTAGATGGCAGGTAGATGAAAGTAAGCAACTAGCTTATGAACTTAGTGGAGCAAATAGCAGCTAGAGACCAAAACCTACCCTAAAAGGAGAGTGAATATTGAATTTTTATTGATTAGGTCTAAGACTAAAATTCAATTGTATGAATTTATTAATTACATTTTCTCTTACAAATCAATTTTGCAGAATAATAAAATGTTGAACATGTAATTTTTAGCTTGATGTACATCTTTGGCCGAGAATAATTACTACAGATTGAAAGCATTTATTGAAAATCTAACTTTTTAGACACCTATATCCATGAGTAATAGATTATATGAATTCCATTGAAACACTTCTATGTATCTGTGGAAAAGAGTTCAGTAAGTATTAATGGTTCGTCTTACCCTCAGAGCAGTCCTCTCCAATGAAGCCCTCGTCACAGATGCACACTCCGTTCTCACAGCGTCCCTGGTTCTGACAGTCTCCCGCACAGGTCAGTGTGGAGCAGTCCAGTCCTGTGAAACCCTCGTAACACACACAGTTGCCATCCACACAGTAACCTCTGTCAAGACAGTTCTTGGGACACGTCTTCTCACTGCAGTCCTCACCAGCAAAACCTTTATGACAAACGCATTGTCCGTTCACGCAGTGACCATGGTCCAAGCAGTCATTCGGACAGGTCAGCTCACCGCAGTCTTTACCTGTGAAGCCAGCGAAGCATAGACACTTGCCGTCAATGCATTCTCCACGTCCCATGCAGTCTTTTGGACATGTCTTGATACTGCAGTCTTCCCCAGTGTATCCCTTGTTACATATGCACTGTCCATCAATGCAATGACCCCGGTCTTGGCAATTGTTGAGGCAGGACAGCTCGCTACAGTCCTCACCTTCGTATCCTGTGTCACATGCACATTCTCCATTAATGCACTTGCCCCTGTTGCTACAGTTGTCAGGGCATGAAAGAATGGAGCAATCTTCACCCTCAAATCCTGGATCACAGATGCATTTCCCATTGAAGCAATGGCCTCTCTCGTTGCAATTTGCGGGACAAGTAAGCTTTGAGCAGTCCTCTCCACTGTAGCCAGTCTGGCAAACACACTCGCCATTCACACATGTGCCACGATTGTTACAGTTGCCAGGACAAGTGAGATTGCCGCAGTCTTCCCCAGCGTAGCCCAGATCACAGAAGCAGGTGCCGTTAATGCAGCGTCCGCGGTCGTAGCAGTCATTTGGGCATATGAGTTCGGAGCAGTCGAAGCCCGTCCATGGTTCATCGCAAACACACTCATCCTCTACGCAGCGTCCACGGCCCAGACAGTTGTTCAGGCAGTTGGTCTGGGAGCAGTCCGAACCGAGGAAGCCCTCCTCACATAGGCAGGAGCCGCCGATGCAGTGGCCATAGTCACCACAGTCCAGCAGGCAGAGCTCAATAGCACAGTCATCCCCACCAAAGCCCTCAAAGCATTCACATTTGCCATCTACACAGCGGCCCTGGTCCTGACAGTCGTTGGGGCACTCAGGTTCGGTGCAGTTTGGACCCTTCCATCCTGGCTCACATGTGCAACTGCAAGTGTCAGTGCTCCAGTTCCCACGGCCATTACAGTAGGGCTTTGTGGATACTTCACCTTGAGGGATGTAAAAAGAGGCAAGTAGTTTTAAAGTATTCTAATATGAAAATATCATACTAGTATGAGAACATACACAAGCTCTGGCCTCAGCAATATCACAGAATGCCAGGAGCAGTCCTTAGATCTGAATGAGAAACTGGTCATTCAATCTGGGTGAATTCATCATTTAGTGGCAATGTGAAACTTCTTGGTTTATTCTGGCTGCACTTGGTAAGGTCAGTTAGGTCAGTAACTGATATGTGTAGTTTTACTTACACGACCAGATCAGTTGTTTGGCATGTTTTAAAGTGAAATACTACATTTTATTTTCACAGCAATTTGTCATGTATGAAATAGGTTTCTGACTTAACTCTACAATTCCAAGAGGTCATTGAAGAGATGCAGCTCTGTAATGACCTTTGATGGGGAAAAAGATTCCCCGCCCCCAATGAGGACAGACAGAACACGTGGAGAGGGGGCTAATATCCAGTGCAAGTCAAGTTTAAAGGGAACTCGCCGTAAAATTATAATCATAATTCAGAGTTGTATATTACAGGGAATTTTCAATAAACAATCCTATTGACTTCAAATTGACTGTAATGAATCAATTATTTCAAGGACTTTTCCATGTTATTTCCATACTATATAATTAATTGAATGAAAGCCAATGACTACATACCAGTTTGTATTAAAATCTATTAACTTATGTGTGCATAGAAAAGGGATGGCAGTGGTATAAAATACAGCCAATTTGTGGTTAATGTTTTAAAGGTTCAGTGTGTAGAATTTAGTGACATAAATGTTGCAGCTGAATACCCCTCACTTCAGCCTCCCTTCCAAACATGAGAGAAAACCTGTGGCATACACTCAGTTGTCAGTATTTCAATTTAAAGAGACCATTATAGGTTAAAGAAAAACGAAACACACTAGTGAAAACATCACTGGGATTATTTTATATTTGATTTCTACCAATAGTTCCCTTTCACCTAAATCGTACACACTGAACCATTAAAAGATCCAAATCCATTGTTATGGTCAGATAAAAACATGGGGAAGATTTTAAGATTGAACTGCATTCATACCCTTTTTAGAAATGTGTATTCATGACCTTTCTATGCTCAAAGATGATTCACTGAAAGCACTTTAGAAATACATTTGACTTGACGTAAAGTGAACAGTGCTGGTGTTACTACATTACAGTACAACAGTGCATACATTAAAAGTTATACCTGTAACTTGAGCTCCACAGCATCCTGCCCCGCTGTTGCACTGCTCTCTCAGACCAGACAGCTCTGACTCAAGCATCTCCAGCCTGTTCAGGATATCCTTGATGTCTGGCAGCTGGTTGTTACACCCGCATGCCTGCTTGGGGATATTGATGCGGTGGGTGAAAACAATCTGATTGTCGCCATCCACAGTATGCTCCATGTGCTCGGTGTTCTGCATGTCCATTGGGTTTGACTTGTGTTTGAGCTCTGTGCCTACGGGCGAGTCAAGATCCACAGAGCAGAGGGACGTGGTTGGGACATTGATGTTGTAGACGTGGTTGAACACTACGGGCTGGTCAGGGTGGGGCAGGGTGAGGTTCTCCTGTATTTTCTTGGGCATCAGGGTCTCTCTGCGGTGGCGGATGACCCTCACCAGGCCGGCTGTGGAAAGCTGAATCAGCAGTGCCACAGTCACGCAGCCTAAAACAAAGCCTTTTATCCACATGATGACACCCTGGCTCCGTGTCTTCTGGTAAAGAACCAGCTGGAGTGGAGAATATCAAATGGGTGTCCTGGTCTTGAGTCCTACAATAAGAAAGATTCATTTTTTTACTTTTTGTTTACTTTGAAGGAAGATTTCACTGTCAATATTCATTTGTCTAGTTGTCCTTGTGATTTGGGATAGATAAAACAACATATTCCATCACACACACACACACTTCCACCAGGGATCATAACTGGAGTGAAATATTCCAGTATCCCACTAGAAAGCAATTAACCTTCTGTTGCCCCTAACAAAAGATCACTTCCAATCCTGTTGCTGTCTTTGACCCATTTTAGCCCCTCTGCTCCTAGTGGAGCAGTGTATTGGATGACATTTGGGCATTCTTCTCAGAATTCCTCTGAGTACCATGAGCAGCAATTACTGCTGGGGACGGCATGTGACCTTGGAGATTTGAAGTGTTCTTTTTCGAATCATGTTGAGACAGGCTGCCACCAACAACACCTGTAAAGTGGAGAACTTCCTCTTAACTCCACAGTCCAGACCACAGCCGGAGCAGACAGACTAATGCCGGTGTGTACACCATCTGTGTTTGTACAGACCTGTGAGATGCTCAAAGTTTCCTGCAACCTGCAAACTGGCAGGTCAGCACTGCTTTCCCATAAGCCACTGGGTTTTCTTTTAGTACTGTAACATGATTCTTATTGCGCTCACCTTCTGAGACATGATTCTTTTAAAAGGTCTGGTGGAAACAAAATGTGCTGAGGTTGTGGAATAGAAGCAAACCTTCAAACCAGATGTTTTACCTTGCTGTTTGATCTTAGTCTTGAATCAAATACACAGACTGGTTAAAGGTATAAAGTCTAAGGTATAACGTTAGGTGTATTTATGAAAGAGAGGACTGATTCTTAAGGCTTGTTGTTCCTCTAATAATCAGATTTCCATTCATTTAAATGCAGAAAGGTGATGAAAGACATGAAGTAAAAACCTTGCCCGTCACTAGTGGAACCAAAAGGGAGAATTAAATTAAGAACATAGATTCCATGCCTGTTTTTGTAAGTGTCTGTCTGAGGCTGAGTTTATATAATAGCACCTTTTACCCCTCGTCAGAGATGCTGACAACGATCATTTCCTACCTCTAATAAAACCAGTGTGTAGCTTGGCAGCTCTAAAGGTTAATAGCAGCTCTTAGCAGCCCACATGAAAATGTCTGGATAAGCAGATATGAAAATGCATGACTGCAGGCAGGCATACATAGCATATTCTAACCCGTGGTGGAATATGTATGAAGGGGTTTAATTTCCTTCGCCACACCTGACCTAGTCACAGTGATGAGTGAAAACACAGGGTACTCTTGGCTGGGCATGTTCAGGTGTACAGGAACAGAGAGGAGGTCTGTCAGTCAGCTGGTAATATTCCAGGAAAAGATGCTTGATCGCCCCATCCCAACCTGATGTGTGGTTAGGAAGGCAGACAGATGAGCTCAGCTTTGAGGAATCGCATGGCTTCAAGCCCCTCCACCATCAACAGCCCCCCTGATTTGACAGGAAGGGATGAGCGCCTCCATGATGGCTAGACTGTAAAAGTGCTAATGTAGCTTGCTGATGGGAGAGCTGAGGATCTGGGCCCTCAGGGATCTGAAAAAGAGACCCCCCCCCCACACACACACACACACACACACACACACTCAGCTGCTAACACTGTCACATTGACATAGCCACACGCACGCACGCGTACACACACACACAAACAGTCACACCACTGTGACCAAGCATCACAAACCAGGGATTAAAACACAAAATAGGCAGAAAATTGCTTTGAGTTGCTGTTAAGGTTTTAGTTTTGGGCGAATGGTTGGCTTTCCCACTTTGAAGGGTGGCTGCTCTCCACATGGACCTCTGAGCGAGGCAACCCCGAGAGACCAAAGCAGGCTTTGTCTGGGAATCTCTGGCGCTGGCAAAACTCAGCTTCACTCAAGAGATAAACTAAGAAAAGAAACTTCCACAGGGTCTGAGAAATAATTTGATTTGGCCTTTTCACCCCTGAGCTGCCATCTACTAATCTTTAATGTGAAGTACAACAATCACAAGAAGAGAATCTGAGTGTGACCCTGAGAAACACAGAGCTGATCCCTCTGTTTGGACTTCCTTCGTGGCACTGGCATTATGCTAATGCGACTGGTTGTTGGCACCACAGACATGGGTTTGATACAGTCTGACTGCTGCTTCTTTGTAATTCCCTCACTTGGTTTTGCTCCATAGTTAGCTTCTCAAACAGCAACAAAGCTTGTTGCCCGCCTTGTGGTCAAATGTGAGCAGAATTTTACCAAGGGAAAGCTGCTGGTGCAACTGATCCACATTAGCTTGTTCTCAAGATGTCCAAAGGGAAACACTTAAAGTTTTATACCTCACACAGCGAGAGCAGTAAATTCTTCAAAGACACATTTGGGGTCCATTTTAAAAGTGATTAGGCCTGTCCTGGTTCATCTCATTCTACCATTTTATTGCTTCAGGATTTAAGTGGGGGAAGGGGGCACAAATCAGACAGCCGACCCTAGTAAATGTGACCCTTACCCTAGCCTTGAACCCTTGACCCTAACCCTACCAAACCCATAAAATACAATGCACTGGTGTCTTTATATTCACAAGACCATTAATCAGTGACACATTAACAAGTCTTTTTTTTTCATTCTACATTGACTATTATGAGTGTTTTATGACCAATGCCTTTCAAAGTATATTTGAACACTAGCAAAATGTTGTATATAATTGTTGTCTGATCTGCTATATCCATGCTTAGGGAGCGGTTTAGTCTAGCCTATACTAAAACTACTTGGTTATGGTAAAGATCTAAGTCATGGATAAGAGAAACTGAACTGTTGACTGTCGTTAGGATACAGGATTACAGCAATCTCCAGTCTCCAGCATACCAATCCACATCTCTGCAGTTCTTTAACAAAGGAACAGGATATGATGGGGTGTTTTAAATGTCTAACGCTGTATTTTCTCTTGTGATGAAAGTCTAATTAAATCTAGTCAACATCGATAGTAATGCAAATGTGTGCAACATACAGCTATAGATGTGCGTCAGTGATATTCACAAACTTTAACGAAAGGTGATACTCCTTCATGTACAAAGTCCAAAAGTAAACAGTGGCATCCCGAGAGTCTTTATATAAATCTTGGCTTTCATACGTCCCTGATTTTCCCATTAGTGTAATGTAAAAAACATTGCATCTCTTAACCAGTAGCAATAACTCCCTCCATCCTAGCAAGAATGTCAAGTGCTTTCCAACATGTCCCTAGATGTTGCGCTTCTTTTTTCCCTGCCATGTTGTGTAAGTCTAAAACCCTAATCCTTGAGCAAATCAAGAGAATGTATTTATTTCATACAAAGGACGACCAAGAGGATCAAGATAAAATCAGGACAGTCCAGTCAGCACAAATCCCCATAAGCTACTGGATACCTCCAGTCCAGCATGGCATGCAAAGCTCTGTTTCATCATAGTGGTCTATCGGTTAGCATTGATCTTGTTTCCCCTTGGACAGTCTGTTTTAAACTGAAATAAATAAAAGCTGAATAGATGATTACTTCTCCAGTGTTATTTTTCCTCCTACAGTCTCCCATATTTTTGAAGAGTTTTATTTTCAATTCAGTGGGAGATTGATGGGTAGACTTTCTGACTGGGGAGAAATGCATATATCTTATGCAGGGGTCAGAATATCTTTCAAATTCAGCCAGGACCCCATGCTGGCAAATTGAACCATCACTGTAGTTCACCTGTTCCAGAGACTCGAGCATGTGACAGGTCCAACAACAGAAACCCATCACTCAGGGAGAGTTCAGGAGTTATTAATACAGATGTTATAAAATGTCATTCGTTTATGGGCCATCACTGTGTGCTCCAGCAAAGTGTTGTTAGTCATTTAAAAGTAGACCAACATGGAGATGCAGTCAAGGCGTCTTCTGGAATGGAAAGAAAGATTTGCGAACAGTCAGTTGTGTGAACAGACACCGCAGCATGCGTCTCAAAACAAACAAACTGAATAATGAAGCAGTGTGCCCCACTTGGTGTGTAAAAGCTGTAAATATTCAATGACCACAACTACAACTCAAGTCCCAGGACTGTATGTTAAACAGTCTGATAGGATTCTCAGTCCCCCTTCTCAATTCTGAAGAATTTATCAAGCTTCCCTAGTTTTGTAGGTCGCCCATGACAAAAACTCAGCTTGCCTTCTTTGGTACAGAATCTAAATCTGGGTCGCTGCTATAAGGACTGAATGGAGGGTTATTGTCTGATACTTTTACACTGTAACAGGGGGAAATGACCAGGAAATGGGCCTTAGTCATGGACACTCACTTCCACATCAAGAATCATGAAATAAGGTTGTTTTACTAGTTGCACCTTAAAGAGTGATGTCATATATCAGAGAGCCACAAATCCACTAGAACTGCAATCTGTTGATAACGTTTTATATGATCATCAACTTGCCTACGAGGGGAAAGAAACCTCACACATACAGTGTGTCCTGAGCTAGAGCAGGTGAATATTGATTTGGATTGTGTATTTCCACCAAGGTCAGAGAGATAGTGAGTTGCTGAGGACAGCACTATGGCTGTGAGTTATAATCATCAAACACAGGAATGAATTTCCGGGAAAAGGCGCAGCTTGAGTTTACTGCTCGATGCATGATCAATGGTGCAGTTGTTGCCGCTTCTGAGAAAACGGTTTTCAAATTTTATCACCTCATTCTGCAGAAGACACACGGCATTTTTCTCTTTCTGCCTTTTATGACCAATGTCGCTGTTGAGCTGGAGTACACAAAACAGAGACGGCAGCATAAAGACACAAACTGCTCGCTCATAGACTGAATAGCCATTAGTTGCGACTCATTTCATTGTAGGGAGTGGGGGTGAGCAGGGAGGACAAGGCTGAGTTCAAGATTTGGTTCAATTACAGCATGGCAGAAATGTGGTGACGCCATGGTTTTAGGACACAGCTAATTGGAAGAAAGGTCTCCTTCTCCAGACAGTCTTTCCGGCTGTGTCATGTTTGACTGATGCATATTTCACAGGCAGGTTG